TTTTGGAATTTACGATGTCACATTTTGTTTCTTCCAATAAGCTTTGTTTTGTGCTTTCCTACTATAAATTTCATCTTTCAAATCAGATTTCTTAACTTCTTTTGATTTTTAGAATCTTTGGGAATAAACTTATCACAATTTTTCTCAGTTTTGCCTTTGACATTTGGCTTAACAGTTTTCACAATCCAAACTCCATTTGTCTTATTTTTATTTTCTTTGGAAAACGATTTTGACCCTTTTGACTTTGAAAAACTTTGGACCTTTGATTCAAACCTTTTTCAATAACATTTGGGTTAGAATAAAATCCTTCATCAGTCACTTTTGAATTATCTTCTTTTAACAACTCATTTCTTTTTGGATCAACATTGTCGCCACTACCCATCGTAACAAACACTTGGTTGGGAAGTCCTTTAACGCAAGTTGGATAAAGAACGAAATTTTGTTCAAAAAAATGTTTTCCTTTTACTTTTAAAACTTTGTGAATCCCTCTGTGTCCTCAAATACTTGACATTCATCAACTCGTGGAATTTCCTTTTCACAAGCATCATTGTCACTATCACTTTCATTGTTTCTTATGTCCTCGACAGTAACATACACCTTTTGAGAATCACAAGTCTTGGTTGTCGAAGATGAATCATTGTTTAGCTTCATTGTTGATTCAAAATTCTCTTTTCCTTTAGCTAACGAAGTGACATTAATGACATACATTTTTGAGCAATCAACACATTCCGCTTCCTCAATTTCACTGATATTGTCAGAATCATCTTCGATACTAGCACAATTTTGTTGAGTACTTTGTGTCGAACTCTCAGTCAATTTTAAAATTTTGATTTGTTTGTTTCCGGGCAAAGTCTCATTCATAGTATCAACAAGTTCATCAGCATCCAAACAATCATTAAAATTTCAACACCAAATGCATACGAATCATTTAACATAGTATCATAATCAACTACTTTACTTTCACAATTAAATGTAGTCTCGTCCACTAGTTTTCTTTTGAAAGTAATAAACGGGAGTATGTTCCTATGTTGTTCTTTCACAATTAAACGAGAGTCTGTTTTACCAACATGCAATTGTCCATATGATTCGAATCCCTATCAGTCATAATGTTCGTAATTTTAAACTCTAAGCCTTCTATTTTACTATTCTTCTCCTCCAACTTATTGTGAGCTTCATAAAGTAAGGACTTAGATTTCTTCGCCTCGCTACTCATAGAGATCAACATATCATTCAGGTAAGAGCAAGTTTCATTAAAATCAGATAAAATAGCATGATAATAGTTTAAAGGAATGTTAAGAGAAACAACGAGATCACGTAGCTTTATAGTCAATGGAGACTTTGGAGTAGTCGTAACGAAACACCTTCCAGTTAGCTCCTCATCATTTTGTTCACTCTATTCTCCTTTCCCTTTCTTCATACTTTCCCAATCAATATCTTCCTCATCATCACCATCCAAACTCTTCCCTTCAGATTCACCCTCTTAATATTTTACGAACAAGACTCCATGTGTTGGATGACACATATCCTCATCATCGGAGCTAGAGGACCATATTTGATATGTCGCTTCATTATCATCAACACCCTTCACCATCAATGAAAGACTCTTGGACTTTGTATGAAGTTCTTCTAGTTTCATCGAGTAGTAGGCCTCATACTTTACTTTCTCCTTCTTCTCCTCTTTCTTCCTTAGCATGTAGTCCTTCGCAAGATGATTGTATCCATTGTGTCACAAACTCTTTTTGGTTCTTTCATTCCCTTGATAATTTTCCTTTAAAGTATCCCAAATCTCTTTCAATGTCTTGCTACCTCGAACATAGTTGTAAACAACATGTGGAAGAGCTTGTCGCACTTCACGGCGATATCTTCTCTTATTTGCCTTTTTCTTGTTGCCTTGAGCGATCATGTCTTCAGCAGCACGAGCATTACCAACAGCTCAAACCAAATCAACTCGATAAGGTCCAGTTTCGATAGATCTTCATCGATTCCATTAAGATAGTATTCCATATGATCCGCCCATTGATCGTTGCACTCAGGAATAAACATCGGAACCTTGGTAGCAGATCCACGCAAGTTCGCAAAATTCATCATGGTTTGACGTTGAGATTTTCCATCAGATTGAATTAAATCAAGGTTTGAAAGAGGATAAAATTGAGAAAATTGAAATCAGGAACTAAGCGATTGACAAAACAAACACAAAATCGATCATCACAGCGATTAATCATAGAATTATGCATCTACTTTGTAGAAATATTGAATCGGAACAATCGACTCAATAAAGTGAAAATACCAACGAAATTATTTAATCAATATGTTGATTTCTGCTCTATTACCAATTGAAAACATGTTTTGACTTATATTTTAATCAATGGATTGTAAATCAGAGTAACGAACACGAAGATCTACACAAGATCTAGTTTCAGCTCACATATATTCTGGAATGACTACAGAAAAAGTTTGAGTACAAGTCTTCTCAAGAAGTTACAACACTCTACAATACTTACCCTATTTTATAAGATACTCACAAAATCAAAAAAAGACTAGGACTCAACATTACATTATGAATCGACAGCGTGCCTTGTAAATATATTACATAACGAGGACTTGTGAACACTCGTTATTTACGGACTATTCGATATTGAGATACCGACCTATTCGACATATCACAACAAAACATAACTCAACAGTATTTATTTCTACATTTTTATAATATAAATTATAGAAAATATAATTTTGAAAAAAATAGAGTATTAGCGGTGACCTGGACAACAACATATCATTAGCGATAACTCTTTGAACATCAGAACGTACAGGAAGATTAATTTACGGAGGTGCAGTCCTTTTCTTTCCCCAGACCGATGACTCGCTTGTTCAGTACTGGTAACTCTTATTGGAGGATTCCGTCCCCTCGGGACTACTTGTAGCTCCGGTTGTTGAATCTCATGCAAGTTAGGTTGTGATTGTATTGGCAGCAACAAGCCCCTCAGGGGCGGTAGTCTCCCTCCTTAGGTCGGTCGACGGTAGTCTCCCTAACGGATGACAGGTAGCATTTCTCCGACTCCCTTTTTAGAATGGCTCCAGTGGCTACATTTATGTAAAGTCTGGTCGCTCGGGCCGCTGTACCTTTTGATTAAGGTATGGTATTGACAGATCCGAACATAGGGCTACTTTATTTGTTTTCCATATCTTCGCTAGGTGTTTATGGAATTATTATAGCAGGTCGGTCTAGTAATTAGGGGGCGACCGAACTGTACCTAATTACTCAATAGCGACAACATAAAATTGTGATAGCGTAATTTATTAACGACGATATCTAATAGTGGCACCCTTTGAGTATCAGTCAAGCCTGTACTAACGGTGGGAAACCCAGACGACCGCCCAGACCCATGTCTTTATGTGCCCTAAATTTTATGGGTTATATAACTATATGAAAAAAATTAGTTTACCTTTATGTTTGTTAAGGTCTCAAACCAAAACAAATCAATCTCAAATCATCCAAAGAATCTAATTCCAAGGATACTACGAAGGCATCTAGGAATTAAACACAATGGCCAGCAGAAATTAGGGTCATGAATCGACACTTGCACACACATTAGGCGCAAATCGACACCTCATTAGTCGTATTAATCAATTATTCCAGATCATGTCTTGCCACCTCGTGTAAATAGACATCACGAGATGCATTCATCATCACGACATCGCTCTCCCCACCCCTCGATTCTCTTGCCTTCCACTTCAATTGATCTTTTATTCGACACACACCAAACCCAAATTTCTGAATTGATTTTTGATTTTTGGTACTGTACAAACTTCTTAATAAAGCTTCGGACGTCTGATCTCTGCTCTTTCTGCCTAAAACATCTATGTTCTTTCAGCCTAAACGTTTCGGATTTTGGACTCAATCAAGTATTAGCCATAGAACAATAGCGGCTACACATAGCCACGACCGATCGCCCTTAAAGATATTAGCAGAGGAATTGTTTTTCTTTTTGCGGCGACATTTGTTGGTGTTAATGCTAATATTCTAGTGAATGTCATATGACCAAGTAGTATTCTTTAAGACAAAACATATAAATTTAAGACGACGATATGAAGGGTCGGACATAGGATTTCATAGTAAGTGTTGCTGGTGGCATATTTATTTTACGTAGTGGTACAATAGTAAAAAAAGCGTAAAATTTAAAAAATATTACATTGTGTCTGAAAAAGTAGGGCCTATCGGTACTGCAATTGAACTAATATGTAAGCGGCTAAAATCTAGCATATATTATCGAATACATTCATCCAATCATTCATCGTAAATTTCATTAAAACCGAACTAGCATTCAAACAAAACACCGGTAAATTCATACCTACAAGGTTAAAATCAACACATTGTCAACGACAATTTATATGTCATGATTACTACTGAAACCCGATAATATTGAATTTTTGTTTGTGTATCAGAAATTAAAAAAAAAACAAAAAAAAAAGCGAAAAGGAATATCGCAGTGTTATTATTATCCATAATAATCAATTCGTGTGTGGATGAGAGGAGATGCACCAATAGTGGTGTTATTGACATGAAGATAATTTGCCACTTTAAATGTGTATATGCAAATACAAGTAGTGGCACTTTAATTGAGTGAGTGATCTCCATATTGGTCCCCTTGTCTCCCTTTTTCACTCTCAATAATGACCATTTTTAATGGCAAAAATCATCAAATCTTCATAACCTTCTTTTGATATGGTTACAAAAACACAGAAAAAGTACTAACAATCTATCAATAGGATCTTTATTTATAAGATATCAAAAGTTTCATAAAAATTGTTAAATTACCGCTTAACCCAGTTATGTTCATTGCAACTATTTTCAATGATCGTTGTTTTAAAAACTACACGTTTCTTTTTATTTATTTTAATGTTCGAAACATTCAATTAAGTATAATTATGATTATGATTACCACTATTATTAAAAAAGGTTTATAATGATGGCAATAATTCATGCACGTAATTGATAATTTTTATGAGATCGTATAGGGAGGAGAAAGACTCAGTGAAGTTCTGCCGAGTTCCCACTCCGCCTCACTCTTGCCCAGCCTTTCTTCTTCCCATTCCGCCCAACCTTGTAGATTGGGGTCCATATTTTCAGAAGGTACAATCACAATTCATGATTTAAAGGTCTTGTGGGGGTTACTTCAATTAAAACAAAACCTACATATCACTAACTTCACTCTCTCCTGTCACAACCTATAGAACCTCAAGAAAATGACGGGACTTGGTAAAGAGAGATACCTTAACTAGTTTTTAAATGATCAGTAATTTAATATATTAACATGAATATAATGATACAAATTATGAATTGATTAATAGGAATTGAGAGTGATATGACGGATGTTGAGCAAACACGTATCAGAAAGCAGCAATTACTGCGAAAGTGAATATATATATATATATATATATATATATATATATATATATATATATATATATATATATATAT